TTTTGGGCCCATTTTGCTGTTGCAGACAAAAATCACACATCGTAAAACAATTCTTTGATCGTGAGAGTGGCAGCGTTAGAGTGTATAATGAGAAGCGATCGCAGAGGAATTTTTAAATTTAAATCTCAGAGTGTGAGCTTTGCTATGACACTTGTATAAAAGCCACCAAAAGGATGACGGCATAGGATGATGTTGAACTCATGGGACAACCACAAATACGGTAGTAGTGATGGCAAAATATTAACGAAACATGCTAATGGACAGAAAAAAATATCCTTATTACCTGAAGAATGTTTGTGTTTATGAGAGCCCATTTTCAGCACAAATCCAGATCACACTGATGATGTAAGCAGAACGTAGTAATTTTCTTTAATTGTGGCTCTATTATTCGGGGATCTTCATTGTACACTATATGCCCAAAAGTATGTGGACACCTGACCAATCACACCTATATGCGCTTGTTGAAAATCCCATTCCAGATCTAGTCCCCCTTTGCTGTTATAATAACCTCCACTCTTCTGGGAAGGCTTTCCACTGTATTTTGGAACGTGGCTGTGTGGGATTCAGCCTCAAGAGCATTAGTGAAGTCAGCCACTTATGTCGGGCGAGAAGGCCAGGCCTAGCGTTCCAATTCAACCCAAAGGTGCTCAGCGGGGTTGAGGTCAGGGCTCTGTGCAGGCCCCTCGAGTTCTTCCACTCCAACCTTGCCAAACCATGTCTTCAGGAATCTCACTTTGTGCACAGGGGCAATGTGGTACAGGTTTGGGCCTCTTAGTTCCAGTGAAGAGAAATCTTAATGCTACAGCATACAAAGAGATTGTAGACAATTGTGTGTTTAAAACTTTGTGGCAACAGTTCAGGGAAGACCCACATATGGATGTGATGGTCACAAGGTGCCCACATGCTTTAGGCCATATAGTATATAATCTGACATGAAGAAACATGTTATCTCACAGTCTGTTATAGAATTCAGCCAAGAATTTATTGGGATCTCCTATAATCTTATATCTCATAGTGTGACAAGTAGTAATCTCAAAAGACAGCTAAAATCGCACAGTGTAAAACCGGCTTAACAGATGCCCCGTAGTCTCTTACTCAGTAAGGGTGGAGCTTAAGTTGAATTTGATCAGATTCTTTTCTCGTATTGGTTAGCGCAGTTGTATTTACACAATACCATATTTTAGCAGCATAACTAAAATAGCTAGCTGCCTAAATGCAATAAAGACTAACCTTATCCAGCTACCTATTTTTTGTACCTACCTGTTTTGTAGCTATCCAGTTCTGCCAGCTAAGCGGTTTTTATCCAGGCATTTTACATCCAGCAACTAAACTATGTCTGGATTATAAAATGTCTTCCCTCTTCTTATATAGTGCACTACATATGACCTAACCACTTTTTAACACCCTTTGTATTGCATATATGAAAATGGGAGCCATTTCAGATTAACCACAGTTTACTGTATAAGTAAAACCAATAGACACTTTTAAAATTCTGTATGATGCTATCACAGAATAAAAGGTCCAAAGACTTTCGCTATTTATTTAGCTTTCAGTGATTTGTCACATCACTACAAAAAAGGTTTCTGTGTTATTGAACATTGTGTAAAAAATTTGGTTGCGAAATTCAGAATTTTGAATTGCAGTCAAAATCACCTTCAACCTGTCTAATTGTAATATAAACCCAGTGCTGTTACTATACTTTTATGTATATCAGTGTATAATTTCATGCAATTTTGTTTTTAAATAGAATACTTAGTCACTAATGAACAAGATAGGAAGTATGCAAAAAGAAAGAAAAAAAAAGCTAGTAATAACATTACAAATTTAACTTGATAAATAACTTAAGCTCTGCCCTCGTTACTCAGGATTGTTATTCGGGAAAATCAGAACGTGCCGTGTGTAACTCAGGTTCACAGTTTGTAGGCTAAAATGTAAAAACTTCACGTGTACATTAAATTAAATTTAGAAATATGCATACGTTATACACTGCCCTCCAAAAGTTTGGAAACGCCTGAACAAAATAGGGTTTTTGGGCAATATCAGCATAAATCCTCTTTAGTTAGTGACCATTTTGCATTGATAATAAGGGACAACACTAGGCATCCGAGCAGTCAGTTTATTCAAACATTGACTTGATATATTACTCCAAGCCTCCTGGAGGATTGCCCAAAGATGAT